ACAGTTGTTTTTGTTACTTGTGGTTCTCCTTTTTATACATATTTTGTTGTATCAAAAGCATTTCGAAAAGATTGTAAGACACTTTTCACCAAATGGAGAAATAATGTAGTTGTGCCATCGACTGTGTCTCAAATTCCAAGAGCAAGACAATTACAAACAATACAATAAATTTTTCGGAGAAAATTAACATTGTAGAATAGTTTTATTTTTAAGAAATAAAATAATACGAAATTCTTGTTAAATGGAGTAGAGATGTGTCTGACTGAATATTTTATGATTATCTAACAGCTTGATCTGGTCTCTTTTGAATAATTGGTGTCGCTTAAAATAATAAATACTGAGAAATAACTGTATATTATATATCAGGATGTTGGTGCCCTTGTTGAGTGTGATACACCCGCACCCGCACCCACACCCTCAATGACATTTATGAAAGTTACGTTCGTGGAAAATGATTAATATTTCAAAAGTTTAGTTATTTTTATAACGCTTGAGTTTATTAGGAGGGTGCTGTCAGCCAAACAATTTCAATGTCTTATATAAAAGAACTTTTAGAGAACTATTCAACATTAACACTAGAAATGGTGACACTATTAAGATTATACATATGCATTCGTATGTTATTCTCAGAAGCAATCTGTATATATAGTGTAAGCATCTGAAGAACATTACCACATAATAGCTCATGGGTGTACAGACATGATAGAAGAGAGAGAACGGAAATAGAACGATGAATTTAATTTTTCTTGTTGTTTCATCCATACAAAAGCGTTTAATTTATCAGAGATGGTTTGTATGAAAGAGCATGTTCCGAAGTAATGCATGACAAACCTTTTTGTTTTTGATACTATTTCACTGGAAAAAATGATCACAAGTTTAATGAACTAAAAAAACGTTCATAAAAATGAGTATCTAAATATATATAATAAAAGATTTTATTACATTCTGTACATTGGCATGTGTTTTCTCAGTCTAGAAAGTTGAAAAATATCCAGTGAATCTTGAGAGAAAACATTGACAATGATTTTTGATTGCTTTTTTTACAAAAGATCTATTTTTCGAGTAATGCGTAATAAAAATCCTGTAAGGACAATATTTTTGATTAATATTCGGATGTTAAATAGATAACGCTTAATGCTTTGATTTAATTTAAAAAAAAAATTAGTTATTCTATTTATTATTTGATGCATTAACTGCTTTGTTGGATGAATTATATTTATATATATAAAGAAAACAAAAAAAAAATCATTTTTCTGCATTTTGTCGTTTTTCTATGTTCATTACATGTAATTCTTTTAAGAACAGTTAGCTCTCGTCTTTTCTTATGTATAGAATTAATAATGCTATAATTTAAACGTAGCTGATGATGAATACCAAGATATTTTATTAAACTACTTTTACTTTCGTTTATGTTGGAAGGACAAAATTAATCTATTTCACATAATAATAAACTCTTTTCATCAAAAACGCATAGACACTAGAGTCATCTATTATATTGTGTTCAAGTCTTTTAACTGGCTGAAATAAAAATAAATAAGATGGAATTATTTACAATATTTTTTCTTTGAAAAATTCGGAATAAATTTTTTTCTTGACATAATATTCATAAACACAATGATTGGTCAATAGAACGGAATATAAGAGCAAAGTTTCTGCACTCATTTATTCAACACACAAGTTGAGTGAGTACAATATTTATATCTGCTCTTTACTCAAAAATATAGTCAAAATATTCATTGAATAGATACTTTTTTTTATAGTTTTAAGTCTTAAGTTACGAATCTATATCCAAGATAGATATAATAGCTTATTTATGGTATGAAGAAAAGCAGTTCATAGTTTTAATCAGTACAGAAGATAATCAAATCGGTTTGTAAAAGTCTTCATACAAAATATTTGCTCATTTTTTGATCATTTAAAAGCAATTAGGAAGAGACAAAAGCAGCTATTAAGAGTCAGATTTTTGTGCTTTTTCCGATCATGAGCTCAGAAATGATACGTCTATCTTTGGAAGAATTACAAATTAGTTTCAATCGCTAACAAAAACAGGCTTTTTTAAATTTGCTACAAGTTATTTTGCGAATGTGTTCGAATTATGAGGGTGATAAAGAACAACAAAATAGTACATTTTATAGAATAAGTTGTACTCTACAAGTTGACATTTCAATAGTGAATATCTACGAACTTATTTTTGTCTAAACTAGATTTTTTTACTCTATACCATATATAGCTTTTTATTTATTTCTCTGTAAGAAGATAATTTTTTTGTGAAAGTAATGATAAGTGATGGAAATTCTCTTTGATCTTACTCTTGTCGATATGAAATATAAATATATCGTTATTATTGATAAAGAAATCAGTTTGTTTGCTATAAATGTAAGAGATATTATAGTAGATAAGTTATCGTTCTTTAATATTCTGAAGACTATAAATTTGAATATATACAATGTATATATAATATTTATTTCCTAGTTATATTTAACTTAAACAAAATATAATGACAAGCGATCAAAAATTAAAAGACCGTGTTGCTATTGTTACGGGCGCCGATAGCGGTATTGGTCAAGGAATTGCAATTGCATTTGCTAAAGCTGGTGCAGATGTTGTTATAACATATCGATCAGACGAAGATGGTGCAAAAGAAACTGCTAAACTTGTTAATGAAACTGGTCGAAAATCATTAGTTGTTCATACAGATGTTGGAGATGAAGCACAAGTACAAAAATTATTTGATAAAACATTATCAGAATTTAAACGACTTGATATTCTTGTAAATAATGCAGGTTAGTAATATAAAGAATAAATATTCTAAAAAAATATTTTACATTTTTTTCTTTCAGGAACGATGGGTACAGGTAAACCAGTACATGAAAGTGATTTTGATGAATGGGAAAAAGTTATTCGTACTAATTTACATGGACCATTTTTATGTTCAAAATTAGCTGCGAAACAATTTATTAAACAAATTGAATCGGAAGGAAAACAAAAAACAGAAAATCGAGGAAAACGAAGTGGAAATATAATTAATATATCAAGTGTTCACGAAGAAGCCGTTTCTCTTGACCAAGGTGCATGTATGTATTATATATTTACATATATAGATTAATTATTTAATATTGTATATTCTATTAGATGCTGTATCAAAAGGTGGTCTTCGTAATTTAACTCGAGCTATGGCATTAGAATTATCTAAATATGGTATTCGTGTTAATGATGTTGCACCTGGTATGATTTTAACACCTATGAATCAAGATTCAGTTGATGATGAAAAAAAACGTAAAGAACAAGAAAAAGAAATTCCAATAAAACGAGCGGGAATGCCAGAAGATATAGCTAATATGGTCTTATTTTTATGTTCGGATGATGCAAGTTATTGTACAGGTGCAACATTTTATGTAGATGGTGGATGGATGTTAACTCGTCCAGACGTTTAAAGAATAGAGTTGGACGTACGATTTTTATATTTCATATTTTTTTTAATATTTATTCTAGCTAAATACTAATAAAACTTTGATATTTATTAATTCTCATTTGATTTATATTGTTAGTTTATAAAAATAAAATTTAATTATTTATATAAATTTATCATCGTTTTAATATCCATAATCAGAACTATATTAAGTTGTATACCAAACTGTCAATAGTTTAGGATCTTATTTTTTTTTAATGGTTTAGAAATAAATGAAGGATAGAGGAAATAATTATATCTTCACAACAGGATAAATCACAATGCACGATTCAAGAAAGGAAGATTACTATGAACTGGTGCATAATACCACATCGCATCATATTTTAATAAAGTCAAAATAATTAGAGTGTGGATGTGGATATGAAATGACTATAAGACCTTTATCTACACCCACCCTGATAGTCGGGTCTTATCAGATCATCCTTCTAGACTTCCTCTATATCGATACTTCTCTCGATTCTCGAATATTTGAACGAATGAAACCAGTCTTGCAATCGACAATGGAATAATTAACATCAAACATGAAATGAAATATCAGCATTGACAGGGTAGAATAGAAGGACCTCTTTTAAAATTCTGCAAGAAGATCTGAAATCTTACGCTCAAATCTTTAAAATATACAGAATTTCTAATAAATATTCCAGAAAATACTTTATTCGAAAGATGAATTAAAATCGATAAAGACCATTTATAAACAAATAATCGACCGTTTTCGATGATCGTTTCAAAAAATTCGTGAAAGTGCATTACTTTTATTTTGAAAGAAAAAAAACGTTAATCACGTTGCTTGTAAATATATATTCCAAAAATATAAACAGCAATTATAATAGTAAATATAAATGAAAATAATGAAAACCATAAACCATTTAGTAATTTAGCTGTTTTATGACAAATACATTCATCTACTGTATGAATAATATTCAATGGTAATGGACAAGAATCTATTGTTGAATGAATTAATTTTTTAAGAAAAATTTCGAACTAAATCAAAATGAAATCTAATGGAAGTAAACTTTATTTTTTCATTATACCTTATCAAAGAAATTTGATAATAATTTTGAATTATGTAAAATAATTTCTTTCGATCTGTTGTGAATATATTCGATATCATTTTGAATAGATGTTAAATGATTATTAATATTTGTCGGAAGAGGAAATCCATGAAGTAGTTGACTAACTGATGCTATATCTGTTTTGTTATTTATACGTACAAATTCTTTATATATCATTTCATCATTATTTTTCATAATTAGATTTAATTGATTATTTAATTTATTATAAGAATCACTTAATAAATTATCACTAAAATGAATATTTTCATCACAATCATTTATTATATTGAAAATTGTTTTATTCATATTCGAATCATCTAGAATTTATATTTCTTTTTGCAATGAAGAATTAGATTTTTGTTTACTTGTAGCATATGAAATCAGAAATGATTGATTATAATGAATTATTCGACACGAACCTTGAAAGAACGAATCAAGACCATAGAGAAAACCAGTTATCAACGATAAAATTATTATTATTATTGTTATAAAAGCAAATATAATACGAATTAATTGAAGAAATAGATAATAATACAATGAATTGTTACTCGATGATGAGGATTTATTAAACATTCTATTAAATATCAACGTCAAAAGTTGTTTTAAAAAGCTTATTCAGGGGGAGGGCGTAAAATCTTAGTACATAAAGTTCTAAAAGCAGGTGGGGCACAACACCCTTTTGCTCAAATCTTCTAACACCAGAAAACACGTAAAAATCTTTATTTTTAATTTTATCGACCAAAAAAAACTAAAATTTTCCATAGCACGGGGGGCCTAACACCCTACGCGCTCCCTCCCTGGGCTTATTCTGTCGTTTCTAGAGAATATCTCAACTAGGGGTGTTGCATTCCCAGGAACGAGAACGCGACCCGCCCTTGTTAACTGGGAATATAAGTGGATCTCGTTCTTGGAAATGGGAACCTTTAACAATCTTGAGAGTGGGTATGGGTGTCTATCTTTTGCACCCACACTCTCAAGATGAGATGTTATTTACTCGTTAGTATCTATTACATTAACGTTTTGAATATGAGGAGAATCGACTGAATTAATATTTTTATATTGAATATTTCTATACGAAAACAAAGAATTAATTTTTCGAATTGAAAATATGAATGAAATTAATTAACCGTTTATTTTTCCAGTATAAGAATATATGAAGAAGAATAAAAATCATTGGAATAACTGTAATAATTATAAGACTGTAATTAATGAAATATTCTATTAATGTAATATATTTATAAAATTTCTTTAATTTTTCTTCATCAAGTAAATTCGAATAAATTTTTTGTATTAGATTTTCATCAATTAATTGAATATAATATTGAATTTTTTTATGAACCACATTCAATTCATTAAATATTTGTGTATCAATATTATCACCTTCAGTATAATTATGAATATGATTAACTAAATTATCTGAGACATTTTTATATGGATCTGTAAAACTATCCAACATATTTGTTAACGCTGGTTGATTCATAGTTAAATTTTTTAATTGTTGAACATTTTTATTAATATTATTAAAAGAATTTAGAAAATCTGTGATAAAATATTTTTCTTCTAATAAACAATTTAATGAATTAATTACAGTTGATTTCAATCCAAGAACAACAATTGAATTTGCTGAAAACAAAAAGTGAATTCATTTTCGAGTCCTAAAAACATGTGTGACTTTTCGATGCTACACAAAGCTTTTATAATTATGGTATATTCGAAATATTGCAGATCGGTAGCAAATAAAATAGTGTTAATTGTTTACAAAAAATGTAGTGGGTTAATAAATGCGAGATCTATTACATTTTTTTTTGTATTAGAGTAAACTTAATGCGGATGAACTTATTTCTCCTGCTGATAAAGTATGGATTTTTTACTAATCGTTTCATGCATGGTACTGATTAGTTAACTTCTAATTAAAGATTTATTTTTGAACCTATTAAACGAATACTGCAAAGTAAAATGTTAATATACAATTCGCATATTTCGAAGTACTTTAAAATCAGTAGGATGTTGTAGATTTCTATCATTCATTTAATAAAAGTCAGTTGTTATGAATAAAATCATTTATTTAATTCATACAAAGAATAGAAACTAACTTAACCCTTTCGATATCGATCATTTCGTACGTTCTGCACGGACACGATGAAAAATAATTCAATCTCTCTCTATCGCTCTATAGTCACAATCAGCTATGTTTAAATTCTAGCGTTATTATTTCTATACATAACAAAAGATAAGAATCACGTGTGATAAACAGATTAAATTCGAAAAGACCATACGTCGTCTAAGAAGGTTATGCAGAACGCAAGATATTCTCTATGTCATTCGGGACTGAAATACTTTACTATAGTTTTCTATCGATTAATAAGAATAGTTACGTTGAATTGTATAATCATCAAGTTGTTTTAATTGTTGAATTAAATGATAAACATGTTTTAAAATATCTTTTGGATAGATTTGTTCAACTATTGTTTTAAATGATTTTTCTATAGATAATTTTGTTTTATGTACACGATTTATAATAAATAACATTTGTATAAAAAATATTAGATTAATAAGAAGTAATATGATAATAAAATGGAATTTAAATTTTTGAAATTTAAAATATGAAATTATATAAAATATAGTTGAAAGTAAGATGAATAAAATACTTGAACTGGATGTATAATTTAAAATCGATAAAAATAATTTTGTTTCAAGAAAAATCGAAAGATCTAATGAATATTTATTGTTATTTAAAAATAATTCAAGATCATTTAATGGAAATGATGAATAGAGAATTTTTTGAATAAAATTATTTTCATTTAATTCATATGGAGAATGATTAAAATTATACGATGAATTTCTAATCAATGAAATTGGTAAATTAAATGAAGATGAATTCAAACAAGTTAAATTTAAAGACATGGAAAAATGATTTATGAAGCGCTCTTTTTTTTTCATTTTAAACTACATTGATAATCTATCATATTATATGCAGATTTAATTACATAGACTTTGTGAGTATTGAAATAAATTTCGCAGTAGTTTAACACATTTCATCGAATAATAACCTTTGTGTGGATCATCCGATCACTGTATATATTCACCACACTATACACCTAGATAAATCTGGAACAAGAGAGAAGTAAGAACGCGAACACATACATAGTACGAACGACACTATGGAGAGATGTAGGTAGAGACGGAGTGATACTGTAGATGGAGCAGCTTTATGGTCTAACCGAAAAGTAGGTCATAACAACCTTCACAGCAAAGTCAAGATCTACCACTTAGCAATACAACATTCGATCAAATGTGTCAAGCTACTATGAAATCCATTTAACGCTAAAAAAGTAACTAATGTCATGGGAGAATAGCCTGAATTATTTGTTCAAATTTTCTTAGTATATTTATATTCGTTAAGCTCATTGAGAAGTAAAAATCAAAATAATTTGAATATTCTTTAGAAAAAAACAAATTGATTTAATGTTTTCAAACAGGTATGTATAATGTTCTATTTATTACAATATAGTTGAATACTTAGAGTGAGCTCATCAAAAAAAAGCACAAAAAATGTCTCAACCAATTTTTTTAATATCCTCAAAGGTAAATTTAATATTTTCTAGTTGCAAAAAAAAAAAATAAGAAATCTCATTATGAAAATGTTCCATCTTCAGGTGGATTTGTTGTTGATGTTAAATATTCAAGATCTTGTATTGGATCATTAGTAGTTGATAGATTTGAAAATGGTTTTGTTGGAGATGAAGAAAATAAAGATGATAATGGATCTATTGGATCTACCTGAAGGCAATATGGATCAACAGTATTTGTTATTGGACTATTAAATAAAGTTAAATCACTATTTGTATCAAATATGTTTAAAGCAACATCTAAATAGAACGAAAATTTAATATATGTATATATTTATATTTTTATAAACCTTCTACATTTGGATTTTCCATTTCATCTGAAGTCAATTGATTATTTGAATGTTTAGTATGATATTGAGTAACAAATTGTAGAATATCATCAATAACTTGAATTTCTTCTTGGCGAATATTAATTTCATTTTGTTTTATTTTTCGACATTCAATTAATTTTTCAAAGATAGTTTTTCGATAAGTATCATTTCGAAGATGAGATAAAAACGACTAACAAAAAATAAAAATTTTTTTTACACAAAATTTTTCTTTAAAATCTATACATACAGTTATTTCATTTTCAGAAGACGAAGTACTGCCGTCTTGATTATTTAATATCGATGAAATTGTTGTTCCTATTGATGGTGGTTGTACTGTTGTTGTTGTTGTTGTTATCATTGGAGGCGATAGTAACATATCAGCTGAATTTAAAATAACATCGCTTTCAATATTCGTATTAGTTATTATCTCTATAAGATCATAGGTAAAGAATGTACAAGTAAATATCTCATCACTTATAGATGTTTCAAATAATCTACGACATGAAATTTTTCGACAACGTTTAACTCACTGAAGAAAACCAAAAGATAGAGGGTAGTCAAAATAAGTTTTTTATGCTCTTCCTATACATCTAGTGAGTTATACATCGTCGAAAGACGAATTAGAAATAAAAATAATATGACTTATCAAAATGATTACATCTATATTCTTAATCGTAAATCATTATGGTTATCACGTACGCATAATAGCAGTCTTAAGAGAATTTATAGTCAATAGAGACAGAATATAATCTTTTTCATTTTATCTGAATCTGAAAATTTTTAATATTTTTTTATTCTAAAATTCTAAGAGTGTCATGTTTCGATTACCTTCCTTTGTAAGATCTATAATAGAATTAGGTTTCCAAGAGAAAAGAAAGAGTAAATATTGTTAATATATTTACTATTTGAATTATCTATTTGAGTAGTAATTGGTCTTTCCGATAATTGTTTTTGTAATGATTGACTAAAAAATGAAATTTCTTTAGTTGACAAACAATATTTTCTTAATAAATACCATTGAACAATATATGTTGTACAAATATAACTTTCGACTTTTCCTGTCCATGTATTAATATGTACTTGGGAAGATGTTTGAAGTAAAATCCATTGTTCACCTTTTGTTAAAAATCTATATGGTTCACTTTTTCCACTTCCAGTTTCTTTCCCTTAGAAAATCAAATAAAAGAAAACATTTTTTATATTTAATTTTTTCAATTATCTTACATAGTTTATAAGCTCGTACAATAACATTTAAATCATCTGGATGAACAAAATCAAAATAAGTACGTCCAACTATTTCAAATGAACTATAACCAAGGATTTGTCTAGCTCTAAAAATAAAAATATATAAATGAAATATTTTTGAATTATTCTCGAACTTTGAATCAATAAAAACAAATTTTCCATGAATATTCAAATAGGTTACAAATTCGTTTATTGGATGATCAATATTCATCATTAACATTCGATCTAATGTATTGATTTTAACGATTGACATAAAATATTTTTGATTTTCATTAACTAAATAAAATAATTTATGTAAATCATTTTCTTTTTGTTTTATTTTACTTGTTCGATATGCACCAATCAATGTACATTGTTCATAATCATTATCAATTGCTCGTTTCCATGATATATCACATGTTTGTAAGACTAAAAAGATAATAATGTATTTTCAAATAAAAGAAAAAAGAAAGAAAAACCTTGATGATTATTTAAAAGATAGACAAGTAATCGATCATGATTTGATGGAAGAATAAATTCAAATAATGAATGATTAATAAGTTCATCTTGTGAATAACCAAAATATGAATTAATATTCTTTGATACATAAACTATTTTATCAAAATTTATATCGAATTTAATAACAAGAAAAAAACAATGCATTGACTAGAATAAAAAAAAAAGATATATTTAAAGAATTTTTGTTTATTTAATTATATACTTCAATAGCTATCTGTAACCATTCATCAATAGAAATTATATCACTTGATGGTTTCCAACAAAAGTCCAGAATAGGATTTGGTAATGAAGAAGAAGAAGGACTTTGCAAAGTTGGTGTGACTAATTTTATCTCATGTGTTAAATCTAAATTATTCTTTACTTTATATTTTAATATATTTGATTGTGTTTTACCGTCTTTATGTCGTTCTAAAAAAGTTGCAGCTTGACATAGAATCGAAGCTTTATCTAACTTCGTATTTTCTTCATTTGTATCAGTTGATTTTTTAACTAAAAGTATATCTTTTAAACTTGTTATTAATTGTGTAAATAAATCTCGACGACGTTTTTCAGTTTCATTACGAAATTGTCTTAAAAAAAAGAAATAATAATAATAATACAAAATTCTATTCTATCTTTATTACCTTTTTGCTGGTGATTCGATATCATTATTTCTAAATAATAAAAAGAATTTATTATCAAAAATTTGTTCTAATAAAACAAAAAAAATCTATGAATTACTTTGAATGTATTCGTTTTAATTGATTTCTATTTCTATTCATAGTCAAGTATAAAACTTTTTCACCAAACACAATCGTTAATGTACACGCGTATCAACTATAGAGAGAGAAAAAAAATAATAACAATCATAGCAAAGAAGAAAAATGAAGAGCAACAGTGTGGGGTTAAAAGAACATCGAAGGAAAGTCAAATTCTTAACAATGTTCCCAAGTATATATGATCGTATATGTTTATATATATAATAGTACGTCTAGGTCATGAATAAATCTTGTTAATATTATGTTAAAAAGTTAGAATATGTATCAGATGTTTTATTATGTTGAATAGATATTAATACAGATAAAAAAATATTTTAACTTTAAAATGATTCATCGAAATAATTTTTTTTATGAATGAAATACAATAATCTATATGAAATTGTAAATTTTTTAAGTAATCGAATACATAGAATATTTAAATTACCATATATTATTTTA